ATGTGTGATCTAAAATGTTGATGGTATACAAGCGCAATATAAATTTGACATGCCTGTAATGTAGGTCTAATGGTTAGTAATCTTATTTATTTATTTATTTAATCATAGGTTTGCCTACAATTGTTACACCTTTCTTAAAAATAATACATGCATGTTTTATAGAGTATGGCTGTACAACATTAATTGGCAAAGACAACATTTATAAAAAAAAAACATTCGGATATTAGGATAACACATGCACATCTTAAGTATTAATACAGAGGTCAAGGTTCGCTTCCCACCCAGGACAAATATTGTGTTATGAGTACGATTATTTGTTTTGTGTCTGGGTGAAATCTGTATATATTAAGACATATTTAAGTGACTTAATCAGCAGTCTGGTGACCATAACACAGACGCCAGCTAATTTGGTAACAGAAGTCCAAGATGTCTAAGATACCTTCCGCATCGAGACTTGCTTTTTGTGATATGACGTTTGTAATAAAGAAGAATGATACAACTTTTTTAAAGATGGAACAAAAAACAGTTGCAGTCTTTACAAGTAATTTAGAATTTACATATCTAAAACGTATACCACACACTATTGTCCACGAGTTGATAGCTGGAGTAAAAAAGAAAAATAAATTTTAATAAATTTGAAAACGGGAGCCTGTTGTCAATAGTAAAAAGCACGCTTTTTTTCAAATTTATTTTCAATTTTTTAGTTTGGTTTTCTATAAAAAGCGTGTTTTTTAGTTTTTTTTAAACTATTATTTCTTTTAATATATATATATATATTTAATTAGTGTATTGTCATCAGTCCTCGATATATCTACAAAGTTTGAACGAATTCTGACCGTTTAAACTCAGTCAAAATCTCGCCTAAAGGAGTCAGTGACAAACAAACATACAAGTGAAGCTAATATAAAGCGTGTAAAAAAGGTAATGGACACGGACGAATGGCATGGATCCTCTCCGTGAGCGCTTAAAATGTAACAGCGCGAGCGCCGAGATAACGACGCTGGGCGATACTTATTTGAAAGATCACTTGGTAGATTATAAGTACTCTAATCCAATGCAAAGACAAAGACATTTTTATTTCTTAAAACATGAGTATACATACGCAGGCATGCAAGATGTGTAATAAATTAGATTACAAAGACAGTCTCATATTATAAGCATTAAGTACAATCATCCCTAAATTTTATAATTCTTTTATGCAATGCAGAATGAACTGATTATTATCATTATTCATTACATTCATATTATTCATGACATTAATACATTAATTTATATTATTCATTATACAATTATTAAAAATTATCAAATGTTTTACATCGTAATTTACTACAATACTATTCAGATTGGTAAGTCCTTTAATTAATAAGCAATACCAGTGGAGCAGTAGATCAATTATCAATTTTATCATGTAGGAACTCATCAATATCATAATAAGCTTTATCTGCTAGGAATTTCTTTAATTTATTTTTAAATACTTCATTGGTTCATTGGTCCAAAGTCTAGGAATTTTATTCTAGACTAGCTGAGACCCGCGGTGTTACCCGCGTTTGTTGTTATAACCGCGGACAGCGGCGCGGGGCGAAGCCAGTCTAAAAAAAGTAGCCTAAGTTACTCCTTATGTCATCAGCTATCTGCCAGTGAAAGTCGAAATCAGTATAGCCGTTCCAGAGATTATCCGGAACAAACAGACAGACAGACAAACAGACAAAAATTGAAAAAAATGTTATTTTGGCATATGTACCGTGTAAACATACATATGCATTTAGTAAAAAGCGATTATTTTAATATTACAAACATACACTCCAATTTAATTTATTTTATTTATTTATTTGTAATAGATAATAGATTTTTGGGGCCATACAAAATATACTATTATACATTAGAGCAGTTTTTGATGTATGTAGGCAAAGTTTGCTATTGTTGCGTTTATTGCGGATAACTGATGCAATGTTACGCATTGCACCGACCACAAATGAAATAGGGAAATGGGAAGAAACATGACAACGATGATGCTATGTATAAGCATTATGTTTCATAAGTTTGTTACCATAACTTGTTTGATAAACTTAACGAGGCTTGAAATGATGTAAGAATAGAGAAATAACAGATAATAAGGAGTTCATTATCACAAGGAAAGTGGATGAAAAAAAACAGAGTTCTGATTTTCTTTTGTCCAGTTCAATCAATGTTGTTAAGGCTTTTAGTTCACTAGTGGTAAGTTACTCATACAGGAAACAAAATATACACAATGGTACCGCTAACATACTTTTAAAAATTGGATTTTTGTAATATTCTTATGAATATAATAATTAAGTTATTTAATATGTTGTTAATGTTATTAAGTATTTTAAACTTTCACGTTTACACAATTCTTTCTAGGGGAATTAACTGAGACGGTGTGCGGTTTTAGTCGGTTCAAGTCCGACATTGCCACCGGTAAGTGGTATCCGAGGGGATTTCCGCACTGTAAAAAAAGGGAATTAACGCTAGCATTGCTAGCGTTAATTCCCTTTTTTTAGACAGCCTTAATACTTAAATACAGCCTTAAATGCTGGTCAACTGTCGGGCAATACCATTGTACTGCCCGACAGTTGACCAGCATGTTTCTGGTATAAGTGATAACTGGGCAGACGTGTCACCTGATGGTAAATGGCTACCGTCGCCCATAGACAACAACAACTCAAGAGTCACGGATGACGAGGGAGTTGCCACCTTTGATTCCCCCCCAAGGAAATCGGAGATTGCACTTGCCGTCATCAAAAGCTGTCTAGCAAGCAATTTAAAAGAATACCTAATAATTATTCATTGCGTTAATTGTTAAATAAATAATTATATAATATTGGAGGAAGTTGATAATTATTTTTTAATTTAATTTTATTAAAATAAATATGTAAATATCTATTTTATTAAAGTAAGCCATCATTTGTTTATTGCACTTTGTATTGATGTTAATTTTAATATTATTCATTTAAGCCATTTTGTTTAATACTTTAAAGTCATTTCAACGTAATATTCTAATTGTGTATGTCTTACCACAATTGTAGAGTAATATTATTATTACGTTAGAATTACATACTATACAGAGAGTTTAGGAAAGTATGGTCATTTTTAAGGGTTGTATATCAAACCCCTTAAATGAAATAAAGTAATTGAAATTTCAGGAAAATTACTGATTTTCTTGAAGAAGAGGTTGAGAGGTGAAGAAATCTATTTTAAAAGTGACGAGATTATGTTGAAATGTTTGAAACTATAGCTATTTAATACTTAGAATGTTGGATTGCATTTTCTAGAAATAGCTGCATTATAATATATAATTTTAAAAATGTATCACCAGCTTCAATACGCATACATAATGATGAATTGTAATCGTTTACCAAATCGATTCATAACTGACTGCATTCTAGGGTAACAGACTATATAAAAAACTAAAGAAGCAATTTGAATGTTTTTGTATTCTAGTAAAAACAAAAGCATTGAAACTGACTCAATAAGCCAACTTTTCACTATTTGAGCTTTGTTGGCATATAAAAAATTGAACCGACTTCAAATAATACGAACAACAGCACTAAAAAGCTAGCAGGGATCGCGGTTGATATGCTGTCATTTTTTGAAGAGTTGTGTTGTCTGTTTCCGAAACTCATCATCAGATCTATATGAAATTTAAATGTGACCATTTTGGAATAAACCCCTTACGAACAAAAAAAGTAATTTTGAAAATCCTTCTATATATGACGGAGTTATACATACATAAAAAAAAACATTTTTTGAAGTCGGTTAAAAATATTGTATTTCAATGTCTTTGTTTAACGTAGAAATATTTATGAGTTGATTTATTGATTTTCTAGAGACGGTCTTGTAAATTCTTTCTTTCTTTCTTTTTTCTAAAAAGACAACGCCCGCATTAGGCATATATCCTGTGTCGCGGGGGACTTTACAAACATACATGGAACAACAATTTGTGGGTCACACAAAGTGTCGTCCCATGTGGGGTTTGAACCCACAACACTCGGCGTAGTAGTAAGCGGCGCATCGTGGCGACTGCTTAAACCACGTTAGCGCGTTAACTTGAGTAGCTAGTTCAACACATTCTAGAACTATCTGTTTGTAAACATTGGCTTCCATTCGCTGTGACGCAATTATGTTAATGACCTATGTCGAAATACCGCCTTCTTTACTTCCACAGTATGAGGTGAACAATTCTAGTACACTTTTTGAGGAAACCGTTTTAGACCTTTCTAGAATATATCAGCGTTAGTTTGTGTTTTTTTTAAAAAGATTTTTCAATATGAGTAATTTTTTATGAATACACGCTACACAAAATAGCAAATAAAGACAGAAAAACTGTGAATTAGAGCATAAACATAAAAAAGTATGATTGTTATTCCCAGAAATGTATAAAATTGAGTTATTTTTGCAATATAAATCTATTAAATTAAAAAAGATTGTTATTTTTATTCTCAAAAGAGTTTTGAATAAACTATTAAATTATGTTGGCTAGCATCAAACGATAAAGCTATTTCATGTTTAAAAACAATTTTATTGAATTGAGTATATTGTGGTTGTTGTTATGATAAAACATTTATAACAAAAAGAACATTATTCATATCCATAAACTCATGAGAATATTAAAAAAAATTACAGCCGAATGTCATACCTACTTGGGTGTGGTACAAAGATTTACATAATGAAACATGAAAAACAGCCATATAAACGAGAAATATTACCTCAAGGAGTTCAGAAAAAGAAAAACACATTAAAATAAATAACACTTTTATTCATGGCGCGATAACTCCAAAAAATACATTAACTAGATTTAAAACAACATTTCTTTAACACTTAACCTTTTAAACGCTAATATCTTAAATTGCCCTATACATGATTTGTAATAATAAATTCACAGGCACTCTTTCTGTTGGGTCGCGTTAAAAAAGTTTTGCTTCAACGACTTTTAGCCGTTTTAAAGCTTTTTTCAGTCTTAATTCACTTATATTGATCTATCTTCACTCTTCTTGTTCTATTAATACATAGTCCAGGCCATTCGTGTCAAGATTTTTTGCCACTTCGTTATCCTTTGTTGTTTTTGTTGTCGTCTTCAACTCTTTCTTCCTTATTTTCCCAACGTGTGTTGTCGCTTCTACTAATTCTAACTGCTCTAATGGTGTGGATGATGGTGACTGTACGGGAAGGGCTGGAACTTCTTTGCTATCTGTACTGGTTTCAATTTTTTCGTCTACTGTCGGTTTTACTTCAGGAGCTTCCGTTTTTTCTGGTAGCGTTGGTAATAACACTTCAATTGGGACTTCTCTTTCAGGTATTGGTGGTGGAAGTTCATGTTTAGGAACAGTGATACAAAGTACTCCATTCGGTTTTAGCACAGCAGTCACTTCCTCCTGCTTGCTACCAGGTGGCATCACGAACCTTTGAACGAAGTGGTTTGTCAAGAAAGGCTGTTCATTATTCTTGTCTTTGTGCTTTCCCTCTACAATGATGTAACGATTCTTTACTTTGATTCTTAGTTCGTCAGGCTTAAATCTCTTGACGTTCAGGTTCACTCGGAATTTTTCACTGTCTGATACAATTTGGGGTTCATCCCAGGCATCATCCATGCCAGCTGCTGCTCTGATCAGTTGACTCCAAGGCCACATATAATGGTAGGCTAATGTGTGGGTGAGATGTTTATCGATTAAGGAGAATGGATCTTCGACTCTGTGCTTGTCACCGCCCCTGTCACGGCAGGCAACAGCACTTAAGAATGCGAGTACTAAGAAATATTTCTGCATCGTTCGTGTTGCTTTCACTTCGTATTACTATGTCGGCTGCAGCCAGTCGAGAGCTTATATAGGTTTGGTTGGCTTTCGAGAATGTACGAACGTACATTGATAACCGCAGCGGTAAAATCCAGTTGTCGACAACATTTGGAAAGTTTTGACATATGTTTGACTGTTTCTTTTGTTATCCAAGCTTCATTTCTGTATGTTTGAGTTTTTGTGTAGTTAATAATATCTAAATTACGTAACTATAATTGAAGACATTGCTTATTGTTCACAATATACAGCATTATCAGTCAATTTTAATTAGTTATATGTTGAATTTATTATTATTGGCACGCATTTTTATAGTTGTTTGAACAATTTTGCAAAGAGTTTTCTTGAGGAAGATAATGATTAACAGTATCCAACTGAAGAAACCTTGTCTGTTCTTGGGATAACGATACTTACTCGTAATATGAATTTGAACTAAGTCTGTTGTACACCGTGTCCTAAGATTTCACTTCTGAAAGTCTGCAGTTACATAAAAGTAATTTTATTACCGGTGAATTAAAATGAAAAATATAACTTTTGGTTCCCACAAGAGTTTAAACTAAGAACATCACAGACCTTATATTACTACTATTTCTCACTTTCTTTTCTTAGAAGCTGTGGTGGATTTGTACACTAACAAAACACGTATTATGTAAATGATATTTGATTTCCAAGTCTGCAGGAAGCTCCGTGTTGTAATTTGACGTACTAATGTTAAATGTTATTTAAAATTGAGGTTAGTGTGATGTAACTATTATTAAGGTTCAAAATAATAAATCACTGAAACTCAATTTTTAGCCGTTTCTACTAATAATGAAAGTAATGGCTACATATATTTTGATAGTGTGAACCAATAACACGAAAATCTTATGATTAAGAAAAAATTGGAAGATATAATGTTGGTGTTTTCAACTCCTGCGCAACTTGTTTAGTTCGAATACACACACACACAAACATATGTATGTGCCCAGCCAGCGGGCATTGACCGCGTCTGTGTGCGCGGTACCGTTAGCACCACAGCGATGCATTTATTTGTGGGACAACTTTTACTCTTAATACACCAATAGTTTCTTATGTTTATTATACTTTTTTATTTAGCCATAGCTTTCAATATCGTGTAATATAATAGAAACATTTAAAATTTAGAGTTTTTTTTTTGATATCGCTACCGCAGTGGCGATCCAAACTAAGAATATAACGGCAACATGTGTGTTTGTTTATTTTGCTTACTATACCATTGTCGGGCAAAAAGTCGGCCTACTTACATGAATAAATTGCAACATGTCGATAAACCATTTCAATTTGATTGTTGGTCAGACAAAATCGATACCGCGGCAGATTCCTGCTTTATCGCATATGAGCCTACTCCACCGGAGTTATACCACGGCTTTTCAGAAAACCGGTGTCAAATATTTTTTTCGTGGCTCATCATCGAGTTAGAGAGGTTACCGAGACCCAACCATCCAATCCCAAAAGGAAGACAACACACTTGTGTCTCTAGAGTTTTATGTGACCATGCGCAGGGCTGGTCTGCTCGTTTACATCCATTAAAATCGACGTAAAGTCGCAGGTAAAAACTAGTTTCTATATATTTAGTGCGTTAATGCAAAGGCGTTAAGGTGTAAGTGTTTTTTTATACATCGAGAAACTGGTCACGGTTTTGAATGGACATTTTAGCAAGAATTCAACCATCGTAATTTCTTTTTAAATAGTTTGTTTATTTTCCTCATAGGTTAATGTATTTCGAGTAAAACTGTCACTTCCGGTTGGTGTCATTAAATGGTTTCCATTAAGTTTGCAGTTCACTTAGGATGTGTTTTTAACCTCAATGATTGATAGAAATAAATGAAAAATAAATTGCAAATAAATAAAATAAAAAGACGGGCCCGTGGCTAAGTGGTAACCGAGTAGGTTAAGACTTAGCAAAGTTAAGCAATCCTTGCCAGGTCAGTCTATGGATGGGTGACCATTTCTTACATACATTGAGACCCATCTAAATCTCGGAGAGCACGTTAAGCTGTCGGTCCGAAATACCATGCGAACATCTATGGCAATCGTTACGGGTAGCTGGACTCCTGAAAAGTCCAACAAGTCTTTCTACAGAACAAGTGTTTAAATTCATAAATAGACCATAATTTGAACTTTTATAAAGTTAAAATATCAACTATAGAACATTATTATTTAAACAGTTATGAAGTACTACAAATTATTCAAGTCAGTAGCTATTAATGTGCAAAAAAGAGTTGAATTTTTTAGACTGTGACCATGAAATGTAGATTTAGTAAAGCTGAGTACCTAAAATGTATCTGGCCTGTTGGTTTAGTTGTTAGTAATATTGAGTACTAAGTCAGAGATCGTGGGTTATATTTCCAGTCAGGACAATTCCAATTGTATAATGAGCATGATGATTTTTACCGTGTCTGGGTGTAATCATATTTAATTTATTTCGTCAACAACCTTTAATAGTCCACTGCTGGACATAGGCCTCTCCTTAGAAAGAAGGTTTTGGCCTACTATACCACGCTGGCCAGACGGGTTGGTATAGGGTTTGTGTCAAGTTTCCCTTCTTTTTACGGTGCTGGTGTCCTGCGTTGTTTTGCGCCCTTAGTCGGCTCTTACGACACCCACGGGATGAATTGGGATAGTGACATTCCGTATTCTTAAACCGTCACTACACGGATGTATTTTAGAAAGATATAATTATGTATATCAGTAGTCTGGTTACGTATAGTCCGGTCAGAGAGATATTGTGTTGTCATTATTATTTTTATTTGAACCCTCGCGATTATAGATGCTTTTAATGGACGAAAGGTACAATATATCCTTTTAAGTAGCCGTGGCAACGTGTAAGCAAGATTACGTGATTGTTAGTTGAGTAAGTCCTCAACAGCCTTTAAAAGTTCGCTGCTGGACATAGGACTCTCCTTACAAATGAGGTTTTGGCATAATATATCTGGCTGGCCAAAGGAATTGGTATAGGGTTTTTATCAAGTTTTCTGGTAGGTAGGGTTTTTATCTGGGATGAATAGGGGGTGGTGACACTCCGTAGTTTTAATCCGTTGCCACACGGATAACCTGAACGGATAGCCTGGTCAATTCTAAAGGTTCTAGAACAATAGCCAGTTTGAGTAACAGGTATGCGTCCCTAGCCTACGCGAGTTGTTGCTCTTCTCTATCTCTCTCTCTCTCCAATTTATCCCTATAAGCAATATCCTTTTCATACCATAGCCTTCCTATCTTACCAAATTTATCTTTTCTATTCAACTTACAATTTTCCCATCTAATTCCAAAAGTGATGGGCGGTACCCATCACGTTTGGATTATTAATATACGCTTCTGCTTACTGTCCTGACTGATATAAGCTGTATATATACACAGAACTATTATAATTATATACAAGATAGATATATAATTATATACACAGAATATAAAAATCATCAAGACTGTTATCGAACATTTTTATTACCTCACACTTACCTCACATCGTACATAATTTGAACTAAAACTATTTATAAACATTATTTTTATCACCCCGACTGTATAATAATCCTTGATTTAATATTATCTGTTTTTAACTACACTCAAATGTAAAGCCTCGTTACTTCAATGCTAAGAGAATTCCGGGCTTCATTGGTAAAAAATAAAAACCTCTAAGAGCAAAAACCAACATGGGTTTTATTCACTTGATCTTTTTTAATATCAGTACAGTTTTTTTATGCTATAAGGTGAGTAGGTATTTAAGTACAGCTGGGCTTTTATAGATTTAAGAGTAGTATATTAACATTATTTACTATGTTTATGTACTTACTTATAAAAATTGATTTTGTTGTCATCAAAAATAAATCTTATACCTACTTGATTTTCACAGTTGTGAAAAGGAGAAAAATGAACTTAAATGAAAGAAATGATAATAATAATATATCTAATACATCTTCCAAACTAGGCAGATCCTGTGGTAACCAGACTGCTGATAAACATACTTATATATTTCTAAATACATACATAATTATAGATAAATTACCTACACCCAGACACAGAACCGACCGAGATGACCGTGTTCATCAGACAATATTTGTCCTGGGTGGGAATAGAACTCACGACCTCCGGCTTAGCAGTCAGGTTCACTAAATACTAGACCAACGGGCCTATCAGAAGTACCGATTCATTTGTAGTTTACAGTACAAGAACTCATAATAAACTCGGTACCCGTTTTAAACCCATACAACATAATTACACCGACATTAACTTCGCAAGAGAAAATGAATGCACGCCACAATTTCGTAATACTATGGCGTTTGTCAGGTCGTTGACATACGAGTGTTACGGTGATTCAATTATCGACTCGTTTTATTGTGTGGCGAGTCGATTCTTAGTTTATTTATTTATAAATTTACAAAGAATACGACATAACTTAGAAAGTACGTAGAAAACTGCAAATCGATTGGTCCTACACACGAGACGCAATCGACTTTGTGTGTTTGATTGAAAAATTATCACGGTGTTCATATCCGTAGTATAATTTTAAATAAGATAGATACTCTTGTAGAGTATTTAAAATAAAATAAAAATAAACATGTAATAATAAACTTTATGTGTTGCATAATAAATATTGAGCATTCGTTCTTTATTCTGAATACTTTTAATTAATTGAAAGCACAAAACCGACATCATAACATTGCGATTCACCAAACCGGTACATTTTGTTTGCTGACGTTACAGTTGCGTGAACAGAATTACAGGTTTTTGCTATTGCGTCCCATATCCTTCATTTAGTTATACGAACTTCCACTCTTAACATTGTATGAGTAAAGTTCAGTTTTGTTTGACAAAATATCGACATATAAGCCCATCTACTTTCTAGTATAATTATTAATCAGAACCTTGGTACAGAAAATTGTATCTTTATAAAAATGCCAAGCGATTTTAAATTCTTTTTACTAAACAGTAAAGTTTGAATTGGTTGGAAAGTATGGCTAGAA